GGGGGGGGGGGGGGGTGTGTGACACGGGGGGCGCGCGGTGGTTGTTGTTATCGTTATTATTATTATTGTTGTTATTTCTTTTTCCCCTTTCTCCTGCCGTTCGAACGGGGACAGGCCAAGCCCCTCGGCGCTGGGGCACTGGTCCTTGCCCTTCTCCCACCTCCCCCCCCCGCATCCTCCTGCCAAAATCCACCTCCCCCGGGCGGGGGAGAATTGGGCGGGAAATGCCGAGTCCCGGGGGGGTGTTGGGGTGCGTGTCTCTGGCCTCGAAGGACGTTCTCTTTTGCCTTGCCCCCCCCCCCCCCCCCGCATCCTCCTGCCAAAATCCACCTCCCCCGGGCGGGGGAGAATTGGGCGGGAAATGCCGAGTCCCGGGGGGGTGTTGGGGTGCGTGTCTCTGGCCTCGAAGGACGTTCTCTTTTGCCTTGCCCCCCCCCCCCCCCCCGCATCCTCCTGCCAAAATCCACCTCCCCCGGGCGGGGGAGAATTGGGCGGGAAATGCCGAGTCCCGGGGGGGTGTTGGGGTGCGTGTCTCTGGCCTCGAAGGACGTTCTCTTTTGCCTTGCCCCCCCCCCCCAGGCACATGGGGAATTGTAAGAGTTGTATAGTTTTGCGGTGGGGCGGGGACAATACATGCCAAAGGGAGGTGGCCGTTATGAGAAACAACACGGAAAAGGGGACGGATTGTGTTCAACATCATTGGTGTAGGTTAAATATGTAGTTATGTACGGCTTAGCTGAGTTAATATTGCTCTAGGACCTTAACTCTTGCAAACTTGAGAATTGGGAGGCAACGCTATAGTTGCATTAAGATAAATATTTGCTTTTTATAAGCATTTACTACAATGTAAGAGTAACGGGTCGCTCATTATTACACCACAGATCTGTAGCTGCTCCCCACCAGATTCACAGTTAATATATGTAGGTATGTCTTGGTTAACTGCTGGAATCTGAACTCCTGTTCTGTTGGGTTTAAGGAAATAAGCATCCCTGATGGTCCTCCCCCTTTTCCCTAAAAGCATATCTATGCCTTAGAAGGCCTTGGGAAAAACCTTTTTTCAGCCCTGTATACTACTTTGTCGTTATTGTTTGTCCTGGCTATCATAATGGTGCATTACTGGGTTATGCCGGACAAAATAGTAACCTACTTTTTGTTCTGGATTTAATCCGTATTAGAAATGTTATATGCAGTGAATACATGGGGGTTGGAACAAGGACCATGCTTGTATTGGGATGCCTTTCTTCGAGTAATGTAAACTTCCTTTTAATTGTCATGCATTTTTCTAGTAAAAGCTCTGCAAGTCTGCAATAAAAATGGCCTCCAATAAAACTACATTGGTAAGTTCATGCACACCTAAAGTATATAAGGATTTAATCAACATATATTTCTTCAAACTTATAACTTGGCATCTCCATTTAAAAGATACATCCACATCTCCCCTCCCCAGCATTATTCTGACCAAAATTTCAGATCCAGAAAGTAAGGCTACTAGAAAGGACATTTTCTTTGGCTTTAAGAAATCTGCCATTTCCAAAGAGGCTTGTTGGGAAAAAAGTAAATATTAAAGGACTCTGCACTAATTCATCTGTCCTACAGTAGAAAACACTAAGGATTTTTTTAGCCTCCTTTCAGCACACCATGTAATTCATCATATATGTAAAAAAATAAAATCCTAATCACTTATTCATTTATTTTCTCCCAGTGTATTTGGGGAAAACTAATTGCCTGAGAAAAGGCAGTATTTACAGATAAAAAATAACATTATTGGGAAGTGATGTGGCGTAGTTAAGATGCCTTTTGAAATTATTTTAAACAAATAACAGTTTCTTTGAATTTCATAGGAGCAGAGATTATCAGATGTCAACCCCCTTCTGGACAGTTTTAATGATGCATTCATGGGTCTCAAGTCCTGTAAAGCTTTGCGGACTTCGAAGGAGATATGGACTTTTAAGGGCAGTTGGTTGCTGGTTACCATTTCACTAGTAATGACACATAGTTTGGTGAAAGACAAAACTGGAAGAGTGTAGCGTGAGATGCGACTGAGGTTGAGATGGGGAAGTAAGCAAAGAATAGATGAGTACAATTCAAAATTGGGATAACAGAATAACTGATTTGTAACGCATTCAAAAGGCCTGTTTTTAACTTTACTGAAATGATTACTGGTTGACCCAGATGGAAATATATTAAAAACTTGTATTAACTCCTGGCTTAGAACTGCAGTGGAGTGCTTCCTTTTATATTGTACAATATCAAACTATTTTAAAAGATTTCACCAAGGTGAATGTCTGAACTTGCTGTTAGTGATTGATTGCCTGCTTTTCCCTAATTTGAGGAAGAGAAGGAATTAGTCAGCCAGGGGAGGGGGTGCCTCAGGGAGAGGAAAGAATCTGTGAATGCAGTATTTTTAATCTTTTGATGTTGTTGAGAATTTTGCTGCACAGGTCAGGAAAATCAGTTATGGTTCCCATGGGAACCATAACTAATTCTGCTGCATTATGTATTTGCATGCAAAACCTAAACGTATTAAGGGATAGCGTAGCTCTGCAACTGTAGTTCTGTTTTTGTTACCTCATGTATGTTAAAACCCTTCACAACAGTGTCAAGTCAGTGTTTGAATCTTGCCCCTCAAAGAAAGGGTGATTATCCACAGATCTGCATCTGTCATATATGATTTCTGAATGCAGGAAGGGAACCGAGCCATCCGTGAGCATTCAGTGGTCAAACGCCAAACCCACAGCTTACAACGTGCAACCCTAGAGAAGGCAGCTTCAGGAGTCTGTTGGGCATTTAGTAGCCTTTAACTTCAGTCAAGTACCACATTCACTTGGCTGAGATTTACATTGGTTTGTGTAATCTCACTATGTACAGGTTCTTAACTAACATTCAGTATTTCTGCAGGTTCTGCAATCAAGTGTTAATTTAATAGGTTAGAAAGGCTCAAGAGTGGGAAGCAGTGCTGATGCACACGAGAGCCAATTAGATCTCTAATATTTCAAACAAAAAGCAATATACTCTTGATTTTGTTATTTCTTACTGCACTTCAAGAAAAGAATACAGACCCCCATGACATTCATATTATTCTGTGAAAGATTATATAGACACTTAGGTCTTAGTAAGTAAAAAAAGTTTTTGCTTTGATACAGAAATCCAAAACATTTATCTTTAAGTGACAAGAATTAGTGAGGCTGAAAAGAGTACCAGAAAACAATCTTCTGCTGAATCAAAGAATTGTAGTCCAACGGAGAACGCAGATGGAGATGTTCCCCGCTTGTAGCCTGCTTGCCTCATCACCAGTAATTATAATGTTATTACTATGGTATAGTGAGTCTGTATCTTCCCCTCCCTCCTCCCCCCCCCGCTTCTTTTTTTATTTGTTTGTTTTCCTCATTTCTGCCCCTTTCTCTTTTTTCACACTTACATTTCTTGAAAGAAGCTGCCTTCATAGAAGTGTTGGACATCTTCATGTTTTTATTTTCCTTCAGTTTCAGTCTTACATTCTTCTTCCTGTGGAGGCAAAAAAAGCCAGTGTGCTTAAGTTGACACCTTTCAGTCATGAATGCTGTGGTCAAAATACACCTGGGATATGCAGGCAGTTAAAATCTAATTGGAAATACATGCTCTATTTTAGATAATCTCCCTTCTACGCTTCCAAATCAAAACAAATGTCACACAAGATATAATCATATACAGAAACTTTCTGTTTGAAAGAGACATTTGAAACTTTACCTTCTCTTAATTGTTTGCACCTTCAATTTATCTGTTGCTAATAGAGTAAAGCTATTTTGGGGAGGGAGGGAAAAATTATTCATGAAAAGTAAGGGGCACAAAGACAGAGCTTTGGAAAGAATCGGCTTCAAATACTCAGTTTACAAAAATAAGACAGTTCTTATGTCTAACATCTTTTTTTTTTTTAACCTTTCACCATGTCAAGACAAGATTCTACAAAGTCTAAAAAATTTGACAGTTTCAAAATTGCTTCGCAGTATTCTGGAACTAACCCACATTAATTCTAGAGAGGATTAGAGAAAGGCCATCAAGCAAATAGAGGGGCTCTATGATTTTTGCTTGTCTGCTTTCTGTTCTATAGGAAGTGCATTAGTGAGGAATTAGTTCTGTTCACTTTGATTTAGGGTGCTGCATGACTATGTGTTTTAGGAGCTTAATACTGCTCCTGTTAGTTTATGGCTGCCACTTTTAACAATTTTCTTATATGGTGCGGTCCAAAATGGCAAGCAAACAACTTTTGGTCTGCTAGTGCTCCAGAAATGTGATATGACAACATGATAGGCTTATTCCAGCCTTTTTAAGATTACAAACAAGGAAATTCTAAAATGTGTCCTTCTATAACTATTTAATTGTGCCTTATTAAACTGGGAATGCCTTGAGGATGATGTGGATGTAATATTTATTTTAAGAACTTAAAGAATATTATTTGAAGTATCAAATGTAAACTTAAAACACTTACAAAGTTTTTTAAGTTAGCAAAATTTCATTTACATGTTAAGTGCTGTACTTAAGTGTAGCTGTCTTAAATTTTTGCACCTTTGTGACATCTGCTTGAATGTTAAGTTACATCGGTGCGTGGCTAAGATTGAGAAGGGACTGCAGTAGTGGAATGCTCCTAGCATGCATCCTGTTCAGTAGTTATGGGTTATTGTTGAGTATTTTGCTTATTGTAGCAATACTTCATAAACTTTGCTCCCATCAGCTTCACCTTTTTTTTTGGGAAAAGGTAGTAACCACCTTTTTTTGAGTACCATCCCTTTTCTATGTTATGCATTTTCACAATTCCCTTATTACTTTTCTTTACTTCTGCCTTATGCTGTTTCTTGCCCTCTGCCTTTTCACAGGCATAGAGTTAACTTTTAGAAGCTTGATAAATTTTTGAGCATGTAGCACTAAGAATTAAATTTATAAGGGGAGTAGAGGCACTGGGTGTATGGACAAAAATATTTCACCTTTTAAAAACTGGTGTTGGGTATCTCATTGACCAACTGAAAAAAACCCCAAAACATTACCATGTCTTGCTCAGGTTGCCTGACCACAAGCAGTAACGTAAAAAGGGGTCTGAGCTTCTGGCTTTAGTGTGAATATTTACGTGATTCTTTGCTGTTTACTCAGCAAAGTTGGATTTGACCAGTGAAGTAACTTGTGTAAAGCAAAAGAATTAATAATATCATTCTGAATTTCCTTTGTAGCACAAAATGGGAAAGAAACAGAATGGCAAAGGTAAAAAAGTTGAAGAGGCAGAGCCTGAAGAATTTGTTGTGGAGAAAGTCCTGGACAGACGTGTTGTAAATGGAAAGGTGGAATACTACCTGAAGTGGAAAGGATTTACAGAGTAAGGCACTACCTATTTCTTTCTCCTAATAGAATATTAAATACTAACTATTTATTTGAAATAACTATGCAGAGAGGGGATTGAATGATGGGGATACATTTTAAAGAATCTCAAGGGAAGAACATCCATAAATGCATATTCAATTAAGGCAGTCAAGTATGAAAATAAAATAGAAGATATGTAGCTTAGAGTTTGTGCTACGTAAAATGTTCCAAGACTTTTACCAAGTCCTTAGTGATTGTTCTTTTGCCATTCTTGATTTAGCTTGTGTCAGTATCTATCAAGGTAAGCTAGACTCACAGTTGTTATATGTGTGGTGGAATCAATGTTACTTCTGAGTAAGAAATTTTGCAGGGATTTAAACTTTAGGCAGCTCTGAAACGATGAGTTTGAAGCAGATAGTTTGCTTATTATTCACTTTTCTCAACCGCTCTCAAATTAGATGAATTTGCATGAGGAATTCTGTGGCATGGTTACCTTCATTAGGCATACCCAAAAGGTATCTTTTGAGTCTCTTTCCCAGGACTTACAGAAACACAAGAAAGTTGTACAGTGGACTTAAAAAGTTGATTGTTAAAGGCAGCACATATTTATGCCTCCTGCCTTCCTCCTGTGACCCTTTCTGGCAGACAACTGGCTGAAAAAAGGTGATGCACCTAGCATTTGAACATAAGTAATTACATATACAATCTTATTGTTGCATACCTCCCAAAATGATTGCATTGCAACGTTCTACATTCTGGCACCTGAAATTTTTGTAGTGATAAGTGCATAAATGCAAAATACAATGTGGTTAGCATTCGAGGGTCTGATTTAAACTTATAAAAAATAATTTGTAGGCCACCTGCTTGTGCAGTAGCGCTGTGGCTGTATTTGTGCGCGAGGACTTCTAATGAGGTGCTTAGTTGTTGTAGGGAATATTCATGGGCTTCTTAAAATTTTCGTTACCAAAATGCACGCTCACTGGAACATTTGCAGTGCCCAGCTCTTGATGTGGAACCTGAAGGAGGGAGTCAGTTCTAGGTATAGTTGATCTCAGTGCTCAGAGACAACTTCTGAGAGCATTCCTTGCATGTAGAAGCTTAGACATACAGGCTTACACTGTTTTGTAGGAAGTCTTGTGTACATTCTGTTCTCCGTAAGTCTTGGTGCTCATATCATATGGTTTGTTGGCATGGATGGTCTTTAGGGTGAACGGGGGAAGGGAGTCAGTTTAAATGGACAGGTACATTTTGGTATGGTGAGGATTGCTTTTTTTCGCTTCTATGATCCCACCCAGATCATAGGAATTAATGGAGCTGCTTATTCTAAATCTGCAGTTTAAGAACATTGGTTTTCAACAGTAGCAGAGCCTACTTCTTTCAGTCATCAAATGCAGTACGTGAAAGTTAATAATGGCAAGATAAGCATCTGTACATTTAAGAAACTTGCTTACCTAATGAGAAAAAAGATAACTTGCTTAAGGTGAGCCATGTCGCTAGTTTCACATTTTTCTTCTTTTCCTAGTTTTACATAAATGTGTGTTTGTTTCAGTGCTGACAACACATGGGAACCTGAAGAAAACTTAGACTGTCCAGAGCTAATTGAAGCTTTTCTGAACTCTCAGAAAGCTGGTAAAGAAAAAACAGATGGCGCCAAAAGAAAATCTTTGTCAGATAGCGAATCTGACGATAGCAAATCAAAGAAAAAGCGTGATTCTGTAAGTATATATGCTCTTGTGCCAAGCTTTGTTTTTCCTCTGTTTCTTCCCTACCTCTCCATTCCCACCCCCCACAAAATCCTGTTGTGACTTTTAGAATAAGACCAAACATGGGTTTAAAACTAAAAATATCACAGCATCTGGAACTGTCGTTTGAAAAGGGTAATCATTCGTGGTCGTTAATGAGACTGTCCAAATGGTGGGTAAAAGATGATCGATTGACATAATGACTAAAAGCTTTTGTCCCATGGTGCTTACTGAATAATTTAAAGTAAGATTTTTGTTAAGAGTTATTAATGAATGGTATTAAGTGGTCAGTTTGTATTAGAGCAAAAGGTTCACAAATGGATCAGAGATGAAGTTCTGTTACGGATTTTGTATTTAGAATATGATTTTGAATAGGTGAGTGGCAAGATGGCAGAATGTGAAGACCAGGCAAGTACTTAGATTAGGACCAGACATGATGATGGAGAGGAATTAGAAAGGGTGACTGAAGAAAGCCTACCTTTTCTTAAAGATCTGGCTTTCTCCTGCAATTTAAATGAATGAACAAGATGACAAATTTAGTGCTGATATGTACAAAATAATGCACATATAATAATGTGTTCAGTAATTTGCATTTTTCTCTGTAAACTTTCAGACTAGCAATTTGAAAAGAAACTGGTTGGCAATGTTAGTGGTTGAAGACATCTGTTGGATGTGTGGTTACCGTCAAAAAAGTTGGAAGCATCAGAAGGAATAGTTGATGAATAATACAAAGAATATTTTAGTTTCTGTATAAAGTTAATTGTGTGGCTTCATTTGGTACAGTATTGACCACTGTCTCAAGAAGGATATTGTGAAGCTAGAGGAACTAAGACAGGAAGTGGTCATGATATTCCTTACCACCAGTGTCATCTCAGTGAGCCAAGGGTAGAGATATTCCCCAGGTTGCAGTGTCACAGTTGGCTTAAGCTAACCCAAGCCTGTTGTTTTGCTGAAAAGGATGTATTTTTCCCACTTGCAGGAGTGCATTTTTGCTTTGCCTCTTTTGTTGGTTTTACTGGCCGTGCTTGTTTGTTTATCTGCTTTAGGGATTTTTAGATCACTTGTTTCATCTATTGAGTTTTCAGAACTAAATGCTAGAAACATTGATGTAAAATTCCTTCATTGTTACTCTACATCTAAATGACTTGGCCTGAAGATCAGTCATGAAAAAAATAAAATGTCATCTTCAGACAATTATATGTAATTATAGCTTTTATAATTATGTACGGCTATATTTTTTTCGTTCTGATACAAGCACATGTATGTACACACACAAGTATTCATATATCTAGCTCTAATGCCAAAACAGAATTTTAACTTAAACGAGATAATAATCTTCTAACTTACTTGATAGGTCGATAAACCAAGAGGGTTTGCAAGAGGTCTTGATCCTGAGCGGATAATTGGGGCTACGGATAGCAGTGGAGAGCTTATGTTCCTCATGAAATGGTAAGTCTTACATGCACAGTTCTTGTCCGTATTAAGAGAGGATGGGTGGTTGCACTTAGACTAATGAGACAGCTTCATTTCAGGAGCAAGGCAGCTGGTGATATCCTTATTAACCTTGTATTCTTAGAAAAACAAAGCTTGTATAATCACTGCTTACTCCCTCTTCCTTCCAAAACCAAAATAACTTTAGTTTCTGTTGGTTCAGTTTTACAGAAGTAGAAATTTGAAAGGTAAATTCTCATAAGATACGGAAAAAATTGGCACTTGGATGGCACTGGATCCCGGTAGTGTTCTTTCTGAGGGAACAGCAGGCAGAACTCCAACTTTACATGTTTCAATAAGCAGAAGCCAGCTCCTGGATAGACAACCTTTTAACCAGCTGTAGTGCCAGCTGTTCTGCGCGCAACAAAGTGAATTGAAAATGCGAATGAACTCATGGAGGAGGCTGAGGTTGAGATGAGGAACAAACAATACGAAGGCTGAGAGAGTTGGTGTTGTTCAGCCTGGAGAAGCAAAGGCTCTGGGGAGACCTTATAGCAGCCTTCCAGTACCTGAAGGGGCTACAGGAGAGATGGGGAGGGACTCTTGATCAGGGGGTGGAGCAATAGGGCGACAGGTAATGGTTTTAAACTGAAATACGGAAGATTTAGATTAGATAATGGGAAGAAATTTTTCACTATGAGAGTGGTGAGACACTGGAACAGGTTGCCCATTGAGTTGTGGATGCCCCATCCCTGGAAGTGTTCAAGGCCAGGCTGGATGGTGCTTTGAGCAACCTGGTCTAGTGGGAGGTGTCCCTGCCCATGGCAGGGGGGTTGGAACTTGATGATATTCAAGGTCCCTTCCAACCCAAACCATTCTATGATTCCATGAAGGATGGCTTTATCATTTGGGCTAGTAAGAGGGGAGAATGATGTGGGGAGTTTGCCTTTTTGGGAGGGTTGGGGAAGACCAGCTTTATTAGCTACAGTGTTGACAGAAGATTTCCTGTCTCTCCTTAGTGGAAGAAGTAAGATAAAATTAAACTTTTTTCCAGTGTTAAGAATACAAGAGATTGAATGAACGTTTGCTGGGGGTCAGATTTCTTGTGGTGGTGGGATGGGAAGAATGATAGCTTTCCACAGCCTTGGAGAAGGGTATTGTTTTCTGAATGGAGTCAAACTGAGTGGTCTCCAGAGAAATGATTTGTCATGTGATGTGCATGGACTGGTGAAGATCAGTGCTTTGGAAGATCTGTCTCCCTTCTGCATTTTCAAATTCTCTATAAATTTTATGTGAAACTGAGAAGAGTTGCAAAATACAAATTGTGACTATTTGCATTTCGGTAGTGGTAATTGACAAAATCACAGAGAAAGGATATGTACAAAAATAAGGGGTTTTTTTGTTTAGTTACAGTTGATTAGTTTTTCATAATTGATTGTATGCAACAAACATAAATATGAATATGTGTGCAAAAAACTGAGTTGTAAAGGCAGTATACACTCCAAAATGGAATCTGAAGCATGTCAGACTGGAAGTTTGAGGGATTTTTTTATTACCCTAAGACAGCCTCAAGAATAGAAGTATGAAACACAGCAAGATACTTGCATAAACAGTAAATATAATTTGCCTGTAAATACCACCTCTTAAGACTAATGCTATTGATTTTTAAAATTCTCACTTTGAAGTTTTGATTATGCTTTAAAAGACAAAATTAGCAAATTTTTACTTCTTTCATTGCATACTACAATAGGTAACTGTATAAATGGTTCCCTTTGAATAGCATTTCCCTTTCAAACAGAAAAATCATGTAAAGGGAAGGAAGATACAGCTATGAAACCTTGTCGTTAGCATGGAAATTCTTGGTAGCTGTAGCAAAAGGTATACTGAAAAATGATTTCTAGTTGACATTCTTTTCAGAATTTATGACCTTTCAAGAGCTGCTAAATTTACTGAATTAACGATTATGCATTTTTCTAAATCCCACTTTCTTCTACATCAGGAAAGACTCTGATGAGGCAGATCTGGTGCTGGCCAAAGAAGCTAACGTGAAGTGTCCTCAGATCGTAATTGCTTTTTATGAAGAGCGACTAACTTGGCATTCATGCCCAGAAGATGAAGCACAATAATTGTTTGCATTGCTTTTTTATATATATGAATATTAAAACCTGAAATTTGATTTATTAGCAATGTGAGAAGCATACATTCTAACAAAGAATCAAATTTGATATTTTTTTGAAGTAGTATGTTTTTGCATCAACAGCAAGTAAATGAAAGCTTTCTGCAACTTGTTTCATTTATCACAAGAGAGCATTTGATACTACTTCCTCCATATTAGGTAAAAGCTTTTATAAAACATTCATAAACTTCTATAGTTATTACGGAATCATACTGAATGTCTAAACAAACTCACAGATGTTTTGTAGTCTTCTATACTATTGATGTGCATGTATCTTCTTTACCCAAACCTAGCCCTTTAAACCTGTAGAATCATTCTTTTTAGTATTTGGGATCACTTGGTCACAAGAAGACCGGGTGAAAACTAACTTTGTAGTAATTTGAATGTTATCAGACTGTATATTGTTTACTTTATTGTAAATACTGGTGAACAGTGGTCAATAAAATAGTTTTATATTCTTCCTTTATACTGATAGGCTGTGACTCTTTTGAAGCGGTATGATATTTCTGAACTTTTGATATGTTAAGCTCTCAATTCGTAATATATTTAACTGTAAGTTGTTTTCTGGGGGTAGATTGATTAGTTAATATTACCCCATTGCTACTCCGTAATCACCAGACAAATACTAGGCTCTAATTCTTTGTATTTTTTCCCTGCAAACGATGCCTGAGGCATGTTTTTCTTCAGTCAGGAGGGGCCAGCGACATGAGTGTGCTTTGGGTACTTAAACATTTAAGTCACAGATGGTGACCATACTGCCTAGATACAGCTGCTGGTCACCAGGCAAAGTGGCCTCTCTGGGTATACTGGGAAATATTTGACATGTGTTGACAGTATCAGCCTTTGCTTTAATTTCAGGTCTTAATACAAGGCTATAGTGTTACTACTAGCGGTTTGGATGGAATTACTCTTCAGGCAGTGGCCTGAAGAATACTTAACATAGCTCTGCCTTTGAAGCGGAATATTTTAATGAAGATGCTTCAGTCATATACTTCAGGAAAAAAAAATAAAAAGACTTTGTTTCTATTTCAGATTGAATTTTAAAATTAGTCTTATAATCAGCTGCCTGGAGAATGCCTTCAGAAGGGCAGAAGTAAAGGGTGGGGAGCTCAGGAGGAAAGTTGCCTTTTCCCATTCTTCAGTTGCCATTCCTCTTTTCACTAGCTTTCATCTACGCACCTTCTGACTACCATGGTGTAGTTTGCCTTGAGCTCTGCCTCTGTATGTCAATGGCCAAGCTTCTTTCAGAATTCCCCTTAATTGAGAACTTTGACAGAAAAAAATTAATCCTGTAATATGGTACTGGGAGAGTCCTAGGTGAGACAGTTAAGGTTGCCCAGCTGTGGTTTTTTTGAAGGTTAAAAAAAGATGGTTATTCCTGGAAATTCGTATGGAGCGCTGAGGAGCGCAGGAAGGAATTCAGGCAGGGATGATGTTCTTTAGATACTGCTTCACAAATCATTACTGTAACTATTTGTCCTTACATATTTTCAAAAGCCATTTACATTGTGACTCAGAACTTGTCATTGTAAAACAGTTATTGTTAAAACACTGAGGGGGCTAAACTGATGCTAAATAACCTTTTTTATGGGTAACTGCTTTGTCTTGTCAAGATTCAGGGCGGAATTCAGTCACCATCTCTTTGTGGCTGTAGGAAAAATCTGATATCCCTGTTAGTGTGGGGATTTCCTTGCACCAGGTAATGATAATTTCAGAGCTTAGCCAGCTTTTCTCGCCTGTTCTCAGACAAATTACCCTGAATTTGTCATCTGTGCAAGCCTTCTGCAGAGTTCATGGCTTATTTCTTTGGGGCCTATAACAGGAATATTTATATACCTATAGGGTTCTGAAATCCTTGCTTTTTGGTTTTTTTTTTTTAACCTGGTAGCTTGAGAAATACACGTGCTAAACAAGAATTCTAAAGCAGCATGTGTTATCCTGCCTGTGTCTTCACTACGGAGTGCTTTGCTTTCTAAAGAGTCTTAAAACTTCTGTTCTACAGTTTGCATTTTGTTGTCTGAAACTTTGCGGTTTCTATACTTTGTTTCAAGTGTGGATATCCAGTTTATATGAAGTTGCTGATTTGAAGCAATACAGGTTAAACAGTTGATTTAAATTATCAGTATTGTAAGTGGTAGATATAGAGATTTTTGTTGAAAGGTTGATTCTCCTTAATTTGTAAGCCTTGAAATATAGATTTGCAACTAGGTGCAGCTTTTATATTGTATTTGGTTCTTCCTTCTGACTGTCCATAAGTGCACTGTATTCACATTTAAATAACTTTACAGCTTGTTAGACAATTATTTAGATTTCTAATTTTTTTCATTATGACGATAGAAATGCTGACTGGTATTTGTTTCCCCTTTTTTTTTTTTTTTGCCTCCTCACTTTGTGTCAAACTGCATTTTGATAGTTATGAAATGCAACACTTTAAAGTTACAAGTTATGTAAAATTATACTGAATGTGCTGCATACATATGCAAAAAGTTAACAAATGTTATTAATTTAAAATTAACTGATTAAATAAATGAGATATCTTCTGTAGTTAGTGAGTTGTGCAGAGGTTTCTGGTCATTGTCCTTTCTTATACCAAAGCAAATAGTTTGCAGCTTGTCATTTCAAGTTCACTCTGTGTTGATGCTGCTGACCTCAAAAAAACCCAGTTGTGCTTACTCCAATAGTACTCCTCACCCCAGCTGAAGAAAATAATCTGCATTTAAACATAACCAGGTAGTGCTCGGTTATGCAAAATTCAAATCATGATTAGTTATGGGACATCATCCTCTCAAAGCCTGGTTCTCACTTTGCTGGGAAAGACTAAAACTCCTAATTTGTTCATTAGTACTGAATTAACTGCAAATTAATTAAAGAGCAATTGCTGTTATATGGAATAAAATATTCTTAGTACCTGCAAAAAAAAGCTATCAGCATTGCAAGTGAATTTTATCAGTTCAGCACGAACGGATTCTACGTGCTTCGTGGTAATTTTTCTAAGTTTATGGTCTGGTTCTCTTTAAAACTGCTTGACAGTTTCTTAACTGCGTTGTGGTACATTTGGGGCTCAACATGTGTTGCCATAATTTCAAATGTAACCAGAAGTACATTTTTCCTATAACTGAAAATTGTTATTTATCTTATTTACTCACCTAAATTAGGTACTTGAACTACAAATATCTTGTAGGTTGGAAAAGACCTTTGAGGTCATTGAGTCCAACCCTAAACCTACCACTGAAGCCCACCGCTAAACTGTGTCCCTACGTGCCATGTCTACACATCTTTTAAATGCCTCCAGGGATGGTGACTCAACCATTTCCTTGGGCAGCCTCTTCAAATGCACCTTTCAGTGAAGCAATTTTTCCTGATATTCGATCTAAACTTCTCCTCGTGCAACTTGAGGCTGTTTCCTCTCATTGCTTGTTACTTGGGAGAAGAGGCTGACCTCCTTTCAGGTAGTTGCAGAGAGCGATACCATTTCCCTTCAGTCTCCTTTTCTCCAGTCCCTCAGCTGCTTTTCACAGGACTTCTTCTCTAGACCTTTCACCAGCTTTGATACCCTTCTCTGGACATGCTTCAGCACCTCAATGTCAGCCTTGTAGTGGGGGCCCCAAAACTGAACACAGTATTTGAGGTAAGGCCTCACCAGTGCCAAGTACAGGGGGACAATCACTTCCCTCGTCCTGGCCACATAATTTCTGATACAATAGGTAGGCACCTTCCCTACACCACTTAGACCCACAGAAGTCTATGGGGCCAGAAGGAATCCACCCGAGGGAACTGCTGGAAGTGCTCACCAAGTCACTTTTCATCATTTACCAGCAGTCCTGGCAAACGGAGGAGGTCCCAGTTGGCTGGAGGTTAGCAAATGTGACGCCCATCTACAAGAAGGGTGAAAAAGAAGATCCAGGGAACTACAGGCCTGTCAATCTGACCTCCGTGCCAGGGAAGGTTTCTTGAGTGCCACCATGTGGCAGATGCAGGACAACCAGGTGATGGGGCCCAGTCAGCATGGGTTTACGAAAGAAAGGTCCTGCTTGACTAACCTGATCTCCTTCTATGACAAGGTGACCCACCTAGTGGATGAGGGAAAGGCTGTGGCTGTCATTTCCATGGACTTTAGGAAAGCCTTTGACACTGTTTCCCCTGGAGACACTGGCTGCCTATGGCTTGGGTGGGCCTACACTTGGCTGGGTGAAAAACTGGCTGTATGGCCAGGCCCAAAGAGTTGTGGTGAATAGAGTTAAATCCAGTTGGTGGCCAGTCACAAGTGGTGTTCCCCAGGGCTCAGTTCTGTTTAATGTTCTTTATCAACGATCTGGATGAGGGGATCGAGCGCACCCTCACTAAGGTTGCAGATGACACCAAGTTGAGCGTGAATTTTGATCTGTTTGAGGGTAGGAAAGCTCTATGGCTGAACATTTTGGTCCAGGAACCATCCAGGCGTTATTTCCATGGTATTGCACTTCAGCTTGCCGGGTGCCGTCAACTTGTGCAGTAAGACTTTTGGGGGAGGCTGCTCAGAAACACATTTGGGGGCATCCAGCTTGGCTGCTTGTCCGAGTTGAGAGGCCTCTGTCAGCAGAGTAGACGTGACTTAAAATAAACAGCTAAATTCCAAAGTTGAATAAAAGGTGGCATTTTGAGAAGAAATTCCAAACAGGAAGTAGACACCAACGGTAAGGAAAATGCTGAGGATGATGGAGGAAGCTCTTAGAACAGGAAAGGAGGACAAGCTTCTGTAGTTCAAGAGCCTAATTCAGGCAACTAAATATGATAAATAACAATGTGAAGTTAAAGGAAAAACTTACTTCTGGCTACCTTTGAAATTATGGCAACATATGTTGTGTAAATAGATAAGGTACTAAAAAGGGATGAGCACAAATAGTTTCCTGATGGAGATGTCGATGCCTGGAACCATCTCGAGGGAAGCCCCTGTTCACCTCTGAAATTCTTTGGCCACTGCTCCCGGTTCCATTCTTGGGACTAGCTCATCCCAGGTGGAGCATCATGAGGAGACAGCCATAGAGAAACAGCTGCTCTCATGGTCCCTCTTCTCCAACGCTGTCCACGTTATGTCGCAGTGAGGCTGGTGGCATCTTCCAAGTCATGCACCAAGATGAGGGCCAATACACTCAAAGAACTATTCAGTATTAGAGATTTTCAGAGGGAGGGTGCACAGGACTTTGAAAATGGCACCTGGAGCGTTGGCAGCCAATGTCTTTTGAAGCACTGAACACAGGAAAGCAGCATATGGTTAATTTGACCCCAATCCTTAGGATTCTGGTGGGCTGTAAACTACAACCTTCCAGCCTTTTGGTTGCAAATACCAAACAGTAAATAGATAAGGTACTAAAAAGGGATGAGCACAAATAGTTTCCTGATGGAGATGTCGATGCCTGGAACCATCTCGAGGGAAGCCCCTGTTCACCTCTGAAATTCTTTGGCCACTGCTCCCGGTTCCATTCTTGGGACTAGCTCATCCCAGGTGGAGCATCATGAGGAGACAGCCATAGAGAAACAGCTGCTCTCATGGTCCCTCTTCTCCAACGCTGTCCACGTTATGACACAGTGAGTAGGCTGGTGGCATCTTCCATCTCTTCCAAGTCATGAACCAAGATGAGGACCAATACACTCAGAGAACTATTTAGTATTAGAGGTTTTCAGAAAGAGGGTGCACAGGACTTTGAAAATGGCACCTGGAGCGTTGGCAGCCAATGTCTTTTGAAGCACTGAACACAGGAAAGCAGCATATGGTTAATTTGACCCCAATCCTTAGGATTCTGGTGGGCTGTAAACTACAACCTTCCAGCCTTTTGGTTGCAAATACCAAATGTCACCCCCTGAGGCATGAGCACCTTTTTGAAATGGGAGGAACAGACTATGTCAATCTGCTGTTAAAGCACAACAGCCTGGGGTCCTGTGAGCCATGAAACTCTTGGAAGAGCCACCAGGAGGATGGCAGGAGGGTGGCTGAGCCCCTGCAAGACCAAGACACGGTTCCCAGCGCACACAGCCAGGTGTGCTGGGAGATCTCCTGTAGCTCCCCATCCTTTTCTCCTCCCAGGTGCCTGGGAGGACTGGGCTGGGGGCAGGCACCTCCAGGACTCCCAGGCTGGGGTCCCCTCTGCTGAAGCACCACCACCCTTGCCCATGGCAACTGCGTTAGGGCTTGTCAATTTACCCACAGCCTTGGAAAGAAAAGCAGCTACACGTGAGGTATTTGAATTATCCATTTAATATCCAACATCATCTTTCCATGCTGAAACCCAGCGACTGTATCTCCAGCTGCCCCTGAAGGAGAAAAACCAGCCCTAAGCGAACAACACGTTCAACCATCGAGAACTTAACGAGTTGTTTTCTAACTTGGGGAGATGACATACGATTTCTAAGCAGTGGCGTGCAGAATACCAGCAGGCAGGGCACCCATGGCTCTGTGGCAATTACTGGGCTGGGGGCAGGCACCTCCAGGACTCCCAGGCTGGGGTCCCCTCTGCTGAAGCACCACCACCCTTGCCCATGGCAACTGCGTTAGGGCTTGTCAATTTACCCCCAGCCTTGGAAAGAAAAGAGCTACACATGAGGTATTTGAATTACGTTTAATATCCAACATCATCTTTCCATGCTGAAACCCAGCGACTGTATCTCCAGCTGCCCCTGAAGGAGAAAAACCAGCCCTAAGTGAACAACACGTTCGACCATCGCAGACTTAACGAGTTGTTTTCTAACTTGAGGAGATGGCATACAGTTTCTAAGCAGTGGCGTGCAGAATACTGGCAGGCAGGGCACCCGTGGCCCTGTGACAATTAAAAGAAAAACTGAATTTCAAAGGGAAGCAGAGAAGCCCACAAGTTCTGCTTTTTCTCTAAGGACCACCATGCATTCTTCTAGACAAGGAAATGCTTGAAGCCCCTCCACCTGGCTCGTTAATCCTCTGGTGACTAACAGTGGAAGGAGAAGGGCGTTTCTCAGGTGACTGGGAGCTGCCCGCGCACTGTCCCCGCTGGCTTTTCTCCAGCAGAAATGGTGCCTCTTGCCCAGGGTCCCTGTGGTGCCCCATGGTGGAAGGAGCAAGTGGCTCTTCAGTTCTGAACCTTCCCAATGGAAGACAAAAGTACATTGAGCCGTCTCCTGTTGTCCAAGGTGTCCCAACGGACTGGTTCCTTCATGGGAGTGTTATGGTTTGAGATAACCCATAACACTTTATTGTCGTTTATTTTATTTCTTTTAATATTATTTTATTTATTCTCATTTTCTATTATTTAATGTTGATTTGTTTTCTATGTTATTGCTTTCTTTTCCGTTGTTAATTTTGTTTAATTTTGTACTTATTTTATTTTGTTTTGTGTTCTAGGTTTTATTTTATTTTAGTAGATATCTTTTAATTCACATAATTTCCTTTATTTTTATTCAATTTTATATTATTTTATTTTACTTTGCTTTTTTAACTTAATTTAGTTTTTTACTTTTGTCTATTTTATTTATTGTATTTTTTGTCTGACTTTATATATTTTTATTATATATTATGTTATTTTGTTAGTTTTATTTTA